CTTCCTTCCTTCCTTCCTTCCTTTCTTTCTTTCTTTCTTTCTTTCTTTCTTTCTTTCTTTCTTTCTTTCTTTCTTTCTTTCTTTCTTTCTTTTCTTTTCTTTTCTCTCTCTCACCTCTGTTTCCTTCTTTCTCCTCTTCTTCTTCTTTTGGTGTGGTCCTAGGTTGAACTCTGGGCAAACTCAGGGTGTGGGCACTGTCCTTAAGATTTTTCACTCAAGGTTAGTGCTCTACCACTTGATCCACAGCTCCAATTGAAGCTTTTTTCTGATTTATGGAGATAATCGTCTCGTGGACGTTCCTGCCTGGGCTGGCTTCAAACCTCAATCCTTAGATCTTAACTCCTCAGTAGCTAGGATTACAGGTGTGAACCACCCGAACCCAGCTCCAGACATGTGCTTTGTGAGGATCTACCCCCACAGACAGACAGCTTCTCCCTGCAGATGGGTGAGATGCAGGGACCTGGTGGGGAGCCCATCCATCCTTTGTGGCTGAGGCCATCCTAATTTTAGCAGCGCGAGTTGTAAGGCAGATCAGAACAGTTACTTGGTCACTTCCCACTCCCACCTCTTGCTTCTTGTGCAGGCTGCTAAGCCTCTGTGCTTTTCCTTCTGAGCACTGTAGATGAGAGCAGCCTTGTCTCCCTGGGGTGGCTGTGACAACTAGGTCACACCGTACTTGGAAGGTGCTTGGAGCAGAGCCTGGCACAGTTCACACCCTACAAGCAACCACTGTTGTCATCCCCTCTCCTGCCCTTCTGGCCCTTATGGATTGCCATCCGATGGGTAGCACAGGGCCGGGGCCCAGGGATGGAGTCCCAGAGCCTCAGCTTCTGTTCCTGATGCTGCCAGCTATGAGCAACAGTTCACACGTTCCCCTGTCTCCTGGGCCTCTGCCAGCAGAATGGAGATGACAGAGACTCACCAGGGACTGTCCCCTCTCACCCGCTCCACGCACCATCTCATTCTTGCCATTATCAGTCTATATCCACTGACCCCAGCAATCCATGCTGACCTCCCAGTGTCCCTTGTTTTGCTTTCTTTACCCTGTTGTGGACTTCAGGGACTGATCTGGAGACCCTGGCTAAGCCCGACTGGACAGGGCCTCCTTTCCCCAGCCTCTCTCACCTTGGGCCCATGCGTGCCCAAGGACTGAGCCCAGGGACCCTCCTGAAGTGCCTCCAGTGAGTGACCCAGTGAGCCTCCTCTAATCCCGGAGTGAGTGGGGGACACCGGCCAGGGGACGCACTGGCCCCCTCTGGGGACCTCCCTATGTGCTCCCAGATTCACGGCTGCTGCCTTGTGCTACCAAGGCTATTCCTGCTTATGACCTGAGGGGGTTAGGTCCAAGTCCCAGCTGCACCCTGCATGAAATTGGTTGCCATGCAAATCCAACCCCACGGGTCTGTGGGCCCCCATTCTGCATGGCCAACAGCTCCTTGTGCAGCCAGCTGGACGGCGTCAGACCACAGGAGGGGAAAGGCTGTGCTCCCAGCTGGGGGGCCTGGGCCGCCCTCTTGGGGGGGTTGATACAGGTTAGGAGGGCGTGGCTTACAGGATCCTCAATTCTTTCCCAGAAAGACAGCTCAAGGAAATCAAATTTTGCAAAAGGAAATTGAAACTGACCCTCACACCAAAACTTAGGATGCTAAGCCACTTCACCTTGCGATCCCTGAGCTGAGTTCGGTTGAATTTTTGGTTCCCCCCTTGCAGAGGCTGGGTTGGTGCAGAGAAAGCACCCATCATACAGATGAAAAGCCTTGCCAGAGAACGCCGAGTGCCCTGGGAAACTGATTGGCAACCGGTGGGGTTCACCTAGAGACCCTAACACAGAGGCCAAGACAAAGCTGAGAAAGGGGGAAACATGACACTGCTCCAGAGCCAGGAACTCTGGGTTATGATTGTGTGTGTGTTGTTTGTTTATCGGTTGTGGGGCTTGAATTCAAGGCACTGCCCCTGAGCCCTTTCACTTAAGGCTAGCACTCTACCACCTGAGCCACGGCTCCACTTCTGGCTTTCTGGTAGTGAATCAGAGATGATTTCACAGACTTTTCTGCCCAGGCTGGCTTTGAACCGTGACCCTCAGATCTCAGCCACCTGAGTAGCTAGGACTATAAGCAAGAGCCACGTGCACTGAGCTCTGGATAGAGACTCTTGGTGACTTTCGAACCTAACAGATATAAAACTCAGAGCCTAAGCCAGGCACCAGTGGCTCACATCACCACCAACAACAACAAAAAAGTCTCTGTCCGGTCTCAGGGCTTTGGGGAGTCATGCCCACCCTCCTTACTGTTCCCCAGTAGTGCTATTTGAGTTCCTGAATGCATATGAACTTTGCAAACTGCAGAGTTCCCTGCAAAGGCCATTAGGCTCCTGACTGGGCCTGTTTCGCTTTCCTCTCCAGACTGAATGAGAACAGCATCGGCCACGCGGGCTGCTGTCACCTTTCCCAGGCTCTCAGAGCTGCTGGCAGCTTGGAGGAGCTGGGGTAAGTTGCTATTCTTCCTCTAGACCCCAAATAACTTTGGCAGAACAAAAGGGAGGGGCTGCTCCAGAACATTCTTGATGTGTGAGTCTCAGTCCCTTCACTCACCTGCACACCGCATAGCCAATCCCTGGCCAAGAACCTTTGAGACCCAAAGAAAGGATGTAAAGAGTCAATTGCAGCAAGAGGGATTTAGATTAGACAACAGGGAAAATAAACAGATGCATCCTCACCCACCATGAGAGACAGGGCTCTGTCTGTGTGGGTGGAGGGCTGTCTCTGGACTTGGACCTCTTCTGTTCTGGTAATGAGTGGACAAGGTAAGATGATGGGGCAGGTAAGATGGGGGGCAAGGTAAGATGGTTCTTCCTCTCCTGCCTTTCTCTAAGCTTGAGCCAGAACCAGATTGGAGACGTCGGAGCCCAGCACATAGCTGCCACCCTGCCAGAGCTGCCTGAGCTCAGGAAGATAGAGTGAGTGGCCAGCCTTGTGGAGCCAGGTCCAGGAGGTCACTGACCTCTGGGCCTGGGCCAGCATTGGAAAATCTCCCTTCTCCCTCCCAGCCTTAGTGTCAAGTAACAAGGCAGGGGCAGTCTCCGACTGTGGGCCCCCAAACCCACCGTGGCCCGTTCTCTGTGTTTTTCTGTTTTAGCAGACGGGAAAGTGAGGGTGGCCGGTGTCTCTTGGGTCTCTGAGCGTGTCCTGGGGCGAGGAAGGGGGACAGGATCTGATGCTGTCCCCATTTCCCACAGCCTCTCCAGGAATGGCATCAGCCCAGCTGCAGGAGCCCAGCTGGCAGAATCACTCATGCTTTGCCAGCACCTGGAGGTGCTCATGTGAGTCTGGGCAGCATTGGGGTGGCCCACAGCCCCCCCCACCCCGCAACCACCTTCTCTAGGTGCCAGGCACAGTCCCAAACTGTGTGACATGTAGTCTTCTCGATTTCAGGCTTGGCTACAACACTCTGGGGGATCTCACGGCCCTGCAGCTGGCTCAGGGTCTCCCTCAGTACCTGAGGGTCCTCCAGTGAGTACCCCCTGCCCACTGGTGAGCAGGGGTGGCGGGAAGGGGAGCCTGGGAGGGTCAAGGGCCCCAATCAGTGAGCAGTCCTGCCTGAGACCAAACTGCAGCATGGCCTTTTTTCCAGGCTACTGTTCCCCAAGTCAGGTCATCAAGACACCCAAGGTAGCACTGGCCTGCCACTGGTTGCCTTGAAGTCCTCAGCCAAGCCCCTGACACCCCCCCCTCCACACACACACACACCCATCCCCAAATCTCCTGTGAAAGTCCACCCAGCCCAGCTCGGCCTGTCTGGGAGTCAGTGTCTAGGATGGAAGATAAAATGTCAGTGAGCCGCCAGGTGCTGGTGGCTCACACCTGTAATCCTAGCTACTTAGGAAGTGAGATCTGAGGATCAAGGTTCAAAGCCAGCCTGGGAAAGGAAAGTTTATGAGACTCTTATCTCCAATTAGCCACCAACAAGCCAGACGTTGAGTTGTGGCTCAAGTGGTATAGCTCTAGCCTGAAGTGAGAGAAAAGCTCAAAGGCAACACTTAGACCCTGAGTTCAAGCCCCAGGACCGACACACATGCATGCACACACACACACACACACGCACGCACACACACACACACACACACACACACACACACACACTGGCAAAGGGCTATGTGTAGGAGGAAGGCAGCAACAACATAGTCTCTGTCCTCATTGTGGGACTCAGATTCTTTTTTTTTTTTTTGGTCGGTTGTAGGGCTTGAACTCTGGGCTTGAGCGCTGTCCCTCAGCTCTCAAGGCATGAACTCTACTGCTTGAACCACAATGCCACTTCTGGTTTCCTGGTGGTTCATTGGAGATAAGAGTCTCATGGACTTTCCTGCCTGGGCTGGCTTTGAACCTCAATCCTCAGATCTCAGCCTCCTGAGTAGCTAGGATGACAGGTGTGAACCCCTAGCACCCGGCATGGGCTCGGATTCTTACACACTCTGTTTACTATGAAGGGTGCAAGGCCCAGGCAAGTGTGCAAAGCTAGCCTTCGTAACTCACTAAGAAGCTAGGCCTTGCTTGAACTTGGGCTCTCAGACCAAAGCCAGGACCCTCTGTGAGTGGGGTGGGGGCCTGGGCAGCAGTTCCCTGGACAGGCTAAGGTTTGCTGCTGCAGGACTGAGGGAGGGGACTCAGGAAGGCCCCATTAATCTGCCTAGTTGGTGCCCAGGCTTCTCTTACCCCCTCTGCTTTCCCCAGCCTGCCATGCAGCCATTTGGGCCCAGAGGGGGCACTGAGCTTGGGCCGGGCCCTGGATGGACACCCACATGTGGAGGAGATCAAGTAAGTGGGGCCGCCCAGCCTGCACAGGGGGACAGGCCCGGGAGGGTCTGGGGGTGCCTCTCACCTCATCCCCCTGATGCCACAGCTTGGCAGAAAACAGCCTGGCCAACGGTGTCCCACATTTCTGCAAAGGACTCCCACAGCTCAGAAGGATTTCGTAAGTAGCTTCCACCGGCTGCTGGCCCTAGTACCTAATAGGCTGCGGAGCCTGTTACCTGGGGAGATGGGAGGGGTTTCAGCCACAGGGACAGAGGGAGGAGGAAATAGGATGGGGCATGAAAGGCCTTTCCTGACTCTGGCCTGCCCCAAGCCTGCAGGCCCTGTGCTCCTTGTACCCACTGTGGTACCCCTGACTTAGAAGCCCCCCTTCCATCTCCTCTCCTTCCCCAGCTTGCTTTTCTGCAAAATTGATGACCAGACTGCCAAGCACCTGGCCACCAGCTTCATGCTCTGCCCAGCCCTGGAAGAAATACTGTGAGTGTTTAGATGGGCCTCAAGCTGGGAGTCGTGTTTGGTCCTGCCCTTGTGGTGGCCTGCGGCCTTCCTTCCTCTGGCTGTTCCTCCCATCTATAGCCAGGAAAGGGCTTTCTTGTTAAGCCTCTTTTTAAAGACGTCTCAAGTCTTAAGGCAGAGCCATTCACCTCTCCTGTCTGTTTCTCTAATCTGCCACACAAGCCATGCCCAGCTCCCCTTGGCAATCATTGGCCAAGAACTTTGGGCCTTGCAGCACTGTCTCCTGGGTAAACCAGCCTGTGGGGGCTAGTCTGGAACCCAAACCAGTGTGGAAGAAAATGCTCTTTCTGAGAGTATAAGCCAAAGGGGAGCTGAGCCCTGGTGGCTCACACCTGTAATTCTAGCTATTAATGAGACTACTGAGATCTGAGGCTCATGGGTTCAAAGCCAGCCTGGACAGGAAAGTCCAAGAGACTCTATCTCAATGAACTACAGGGGGGAAAAAAACCAGAAGTGGAGCTTCGGCTCAAGTAGTAGAATGCTAGCCTTGAGCAAAAGCAGCTTGGGGACAGTTCACAGGCCCTGAGGTCAGGCTCCATGACCAGCACACACACACACACACACACACACACACACACACACACACACACACGGATTGCAAGATGGTTTTAAATTTATGTTCTAAAGATCTTGATTCTTCTAGTTACATCAAAGAGGGCCATTGCTAACTCATCTTTGACAGGTGATTTTGGGTGTTTTTTGCTGATGTCAAGGTTGGAACTCAGAACAGCCTCATGCTTACTTGCTTAGCTGGCACTTTACTACTTGAGCCACACCTCCAGCCTAGCTTTTTACAAGTTATTTTTTGGACTTGTCTGCCAGTTCTGATTTTTTCCCCCCAGTCGTGGGGCTTGAACTCTGGGCCTGGCCACTGTCCCTCAGCTCTCAGCTCAAGGCTAGCACTCCACCACTTGAGCCACACACAGCACCACTTCTGGTTTTCTGGTGGTTGATTGGAGCTAAAGAGTCTCATGGACTTTCCTGCCAGGGCTGGCTTTGAACCACAATCCTTAGATCTCAGCCTCCTGAGTAGCTAGGATTATAATCATGAGCCACCGGTGCCCAGTTCAGTTCTGATTTTGATTGGTGGTCCTCTAGATCTCACTTCCTGAGTAGTGAGGATGACAGGTATGAGCCTGTGTGCACCACTGGTGCCCTTTTAAACCACAGGAGCAGGGTGGGGGCTCAATTTCTGCCTCCGTTGGCTCCGTATTCATCCTTGAAGGAGCATCTCTGCTGGGCCGTCCACTGCCAGCCGTGAGAAGTGTTTCTCTAAATATTCTTTTCTTCAAGTAAGGAAGGGGCGGGACTAAGGAAACATGGCAGGCAGGCAGGGAATCTAGGCAGTGCTAGGAGGGGAGGTCTGGCGGCCATTGCAGTCTGCAGCCACGTGGTTTCTGCAGAACATGTGTTCCTAGATCCAAAACCATCTTGGAATCTCTGGCAGGCAGCACCTAAGCTATTTGGGTTCTGGAGAGCGGCCAGCCCAGGAGTGGGGGCTGGGACAGGTAGGAAAGAAGGAGCCATCTGCACCCCAAAAGTCATCTGTTGGGGCTCTTACTCACTCACATGCTTTCTCTCTGAACCGCGCATCCTGCCCCCAGCCCTGGACTCTGCCCCTCACCTTACTGCTGTCTAGCCGCTGACCTTGTCCCCTGCCTTGCAGGCTGTCCTGGAATCTCCTTGGGGATGAGGCAGCTGCTGAGCTGGCCCAGGTCCTGCCTCGGATGGGCCAGCTGAAGAAAGTAGAGTATGAGCGCCATGCCCAGGGCAGGGAGGGCTGGAGGGGAGCCTACATCCGGGGGAGTCCCCTGCCTCCCAGGAGGTGCACATTCTGGTCGCCCCTGGGCTCTAACCTTCATCCTTCTTGCTGCCTTACCACAAATCCACTGCGGTCTGTTGGTAGTGTGGGAAGTCTGGATCCCGCTATCTTGATCTGGGAGGGACCTGGGGATGGATGCCCCTCCTCCAATCTCACACTGCCGGCCTCTCCCTTCCCCTTCCTCCTCCGTTCACCCTGAAGCTTGGAGAAGAATCAGATCACCGCCCGTGGAGCCTGGCTTCTCCTTCAAGGGCTGGCCCAGGAGGCTGGCTTCCCAATCATCTGGTAACAGAGGGCTCAGAGGGGCAGGGCTGGGGGGGGTGGGAGGCCCCATCAGCCCTCATTAGCGAAGGGGCTTCCTGCGTGGAGAGGCAGGGCCTGGGTTGTGAATTATCCAACCAAAGAGACTTTGATTTCTCCATCAGGCAAGCAGGCCTGAGTCAAGTCCCAATTCTGCCACTTACCAAACTGGTTCCCTTTGAATCAGTAACTCAGCCTCTGTGAGCCTCAGTTTCCTCATCTGTAAAATGATATCTCGACCTCAAAGAATTTTGAGGACTGAGCCTGCACCTCGTAATCACTTACACCGTGGGAAGTTACTCACCCTGGCTCTTGGACCTCGAGCCTCCATCTCCCACTCTGCAAGTGGGAAAGAGGCAAGAGACGAGGGTGAGAGGGAGGGGTTGATGCCTGTCTCTGTGCCCACAGCCTCTGGAACAATCCCATCGCTCCTGACATGGCCCAGCGTCTGCAGAGCCAGGAGCCCAGGCTGAACTTTGCCTTCTTTGACCAGCAACCCTGAGCCTCCTGGAGAACTTGATGGGGGGGCGGGACAGTCAACACCTTGGACTCCAGCCAAACACCACCAGTGTCACCTACCAGGATGGAAAGCTCTGGAGACTGGCCTCTGCTGGTGCCCTGTCCCTGCGGCAGCCCTAGGAGGGAGGGACACCATGTCCAGCTGCTGTCCTGGGGGAGGAGTGCTTTCCTGGGGACTAGGAGCTCAGTGTGGACAAAGGACTTTCCTGTACCATGTGCCTTGTGCATGGTGGGAACATTTGGCCCAATGAGGGTCTGACACCGTCCATGACAAGGCAGGCCACACACTGCTCAGTGTGACCTCTCCACATGTGGCTTCATGTGGACATGCGCTCAGTGACTCCTTACACTACAAGCAACAGGACATGTGACCAGCGGCCCATGGATGGCACATGTCCAGGTCACAGGACACATGGTTAGTCCAAGATCTAACTTATTGCTTATTTTCTTTAGTTGGTTGGGTTTTTGTTGGTCATGGGGCTTGAACTCTGGGCCTGGGGACTGTCCCTGAGCTTTTCAACTCAAAGCTAGCACTCTACCAACTGAGCCATAGCGCCACTTCTGGTTTTCTGGTGGTTAATTGGAGATAAGAGTCTCATGGACTTTCCTGCCAGGGCTGGCTTTGGACTGCGATCCTCAGATCTCAGCCTCCTGAGTAGCTAGGATTACAGGCGTGAGCCACTGGTGCCCAGCCTTTAGTTGTTGGTTTTTTTTTAAAAACGAATATATATTAACTATACAAAATGGGTTTCATTTTTAAATGTTCCTATGCATGTCGTGCACTTTGATCAACCTCTCCTAACCTTGATATCCTTCCTCTTCCCAAATAGTTGCTTTTCTATATTCATGTTAATTTATTACTTTGAGGAAAACAAAAGGCACTCCTCCCCCCTGCGCTGGGAGGGGATGAGTGTATGGGTACTGATTGCTACAGTGGCCTGAGATCAGGGCTCTGGTCCAGGCCAGGAACTCAGCCATGTGGTCCCTGTCTGCCTTACACCTCAGTTCCTCTTCCTTTAATGCTGGTTTCTGAGGATTGCATTTCTTTTGTTTCTTTTTTTTTTTCTTTTTTGCTAGTCCTGGGGTTTGAACTCAGGGCCTGGGTACTGTCCCTCAGCTCTTCAGCTCAAGGCTAGTAATCTACCACTTGAGCCACAGTGCCACTTCCAGCTTTTTCTGCTTATGTAGTGCTGAGGAATCGAACCCAGGGCCTCATGCATGTGAGACAAGCACTCTACCACTGAGCCACCTTCCCAGCCCCTGAGGGCTGTATTTCTATATCCAGGTGAAGCCAGACTGAGCTTGGGTGTGATCAGACCCTTTTATCCTATGGAAGGGACAAAGCTAGGTCTAAGGGGCTGGGGTGGGCACTCCCAGGATGTGAGTTAAGGCCTCTGACTCTGTCTACTACCTCAGAGGACCAGGTGAGCCCCTGGGCATTCCATGTGTTAGCAGCTTCCAAAGGGCCCTATCCCTGCTGCACTCCAAGCAGATATGACAAATAAATGTGGATGCCATTCCAGTTTCTCACCCGTGTCTGATGTTTCCTATGGCCCCAGAGGTGGGATGTAGTTTGCTCTTGCCTTGGACATCGGAGAACAGGACAGATGACAGCAGGGTGCTGGGAAGGACTTCGGCCTGGGAGTCAGGAGACAGGGTTCAAGTTTAGAACCTGTTTCTGCCTGGCTATGGGAATGTGGGCAACGCCTCTCCCTTCACACTTTACCTGACACACAGGAGTGATACAGCTCTGAATATCAGCAACAGCTGTTTGCCTTGCATGAGAGTCAAACTCTTTTCTGAATTATCAGCATTCGAAATTGGGAACTATTACTTAAAACTCTAATTTGCTGGGGTTGCATTCTTAGGCCTTTTTTTTTTTCTTCTGGAAGTACTGTGGCTTAAATTCGGTGACTCACAACTTCCTAGGCCTGTGCTCTACCATCTAGCCATGCCTCCAGCCCAGCTGTTACATAAGGTGGAGAGATACCCCAAGTGTCCAGAGAACAGCAAACTGTCACCTGCCTGCCTGCCTGCCTTCCCAGAATCTTGCGCCATGTTTTGAATAGCCAAGCCAACAGGGTGCAGTTACAACTCATCTTCACTGGAGGGCAGGCTGGCCCACTGATGATTCCTAAACTAACTTCCCCGGCCAGTGCAGCCAGGTTAGATGATGCCAGGGGCTTTTTCCATCTAGACTAAGAACTTGGGATGTTTGTGATTGTTTGTGACTCACCAGAATGACTTAAGCCCTTTTTAGCACTCCACGTAGTCTCCGGCATCCCGCCAAGGCAGGCATGAGGAGAAAGTCCTCCGGCCAAGTGCCAAGCACCCACGCCAGGGACACCCTTATCGGGTTAGGGTCAGGGCGCACCTGCCACCATCCACCAGCCTGGCCATGGGGACTCTGTAGACAGGTAGAAGCTCCAAGATGTTTATCCAAGGTTGAGGAACATGCAGAGTGCTCACCAGAAGCAACAGACCAGGTGATACACACAAAGTGGTGGTGGGAGGGAGCGGGGAGCCCAGAGCTTGGAGAACCTGATTTCATTGGCTGATCATTATTACACTGTTCTCTTCACCTCTCCCCCTTCATCCCTGAGGTGCTAAACTCCATGACCTTGCTGCAGCAGCTCTGGGACACAACCAGGAGGCTGGCCACCACCTCAACTTGCTGGGGAATCTCCTTTTCCTTTTGTCCTATCCTGCCAGGTACTGGTGGCACACACCTGCCATCCTAGCTACTCTAGAGGCTGAGAACTGAGGATATTAGGTCAAAGCCAGCTCAGGCAGGGAAGGCTATAAGACTTTTTTTTTTTTTTTTGTCGGTCATGGGGCCTGAACTCTGGGCCTGGGCACTGTCCCTCAGCTCTTCAGCTCAAGGCTAGTGCTCTACCACTTGAGTCATAGCACCACTTCCAGCTTTTTCTGCTTATGTGGTGCTGAGGAATTGAACTCAGGGCCTCATGCATGCAAGGCAAGCACTCTACCACTGAGCCACCTTCCCAGCACTGGCTATGAGATTCTTTATTCCTAATGAACCAGGAAAAAGCCAAAAATGGAGGTATAGCTCAAGTGGCAGAATGCTAGCTTTGAGGGGGGGAAAAAGCTTACAGCCCTGAGTTCAAGCCCTAGCACTAGCACAAAAAGAAAAAAGGAACATTTAAAAAAGTTTCCTGCTGCCTACCCCCTTGAGGGCCTTAACTAATTTTTCACCCAACAAGAGTAGGGCCAGTCTCTCTGCCAGCGTCTTCCTCAAGTAGGCTCAGTTTAAATATTTACGTGAATACAAATTCAGCTCAGAGAGCAGTAGGCTGGGGGCCAGGAAGCAGTAATCAGCTGTGCCTGATGGAGCTGGGGGTGCTGGGGGCTCTGGGGGCCACTCCACCCAGTGTGGGAAGAACTGGATGAGCTGCCTTCTCACAGGGCTTCAGCCTGATTTCACTGATGGACTGTTCTTCTCCCCCCCCCCCCACCAAGGAAATAACACAGTCTCTGTTCCCAGTTCCACAGACCTCCAGTTATAGGGTTTGGGGTGTTGTTCCCTCCACCCCGCCCCTGGTTATTGAGGCTTGAATTCAGAGTCTAGGTGCTACCTCTGAGCTACTTTCACTTAAGGTGGCACTCTACCACGTGAGCCACAGCTCCATCTCTAGCTATTTAGTGGTTGCTTGGAGTCTCACAGACTTTCGTGTCCAGGCTGAACTTTGAACTTTGATCCTCAGATCTCAGCTTCCTGAATAGCTTGAATTAGACAGACAGGAGCCCTGGGCTCTAGTTCTTTTTAATTACCTTCTTCATCTTTCCTCTAACACATGGTCCAGCCCATCTGACATCCAGTATCTAGGCCAGTACAACTCAAAGTGCCACAGGTGGTTGATAGAGAAACTCCCTAGAAAGCCTAGGTTACAGAAACTGAAGTGTGGTGAGAAACACTCCCCGCCCCCCCACCACCACCACACACACATAACCCGCCCATTCTGGCTCTGTAGGCTGGGGTGGGGCCTGGGATTCTGCATTTCTAGAAAGCCTGCAGGTAACTATGGGGCCTTACTTAGTGAGGCTGCAGGTATGTCTGTGTTCTTCTACTGGAGCCACACACCCCACTTCTTTGAGGGTGGGGTGGGGGTATTTGTTTTTTAGATAGGGTCTCTAGCTAACTGCTCAGGCTGGTCTCAGGCATCCTGGTTATTCTGAAGTTTGCCCCCAGCAGGCTGCATTCTAGAAACATTCAGGACTTCACACACACACACACATACACACACACACACACACACACACACACACACAGAGCTCATCCTGGCTGCCTAGGGGCCTTCTACCAAGCAGAATTCTCACAGGGCTTAGAAGAGATGAGTTCCACAGTTCACAGTCCTGTAGTCAATGGGTCAAAAACCAAGTGAATCAACCCATGAGGAACACGTGCCTATCTACTGATTGCTGGGCTTTCCTGGTCCCTGATGATTTTTTAAGAACTCTGTTGAGATCAATTCAAAATCTGGTGTTTAGACCCCAGGCCCACAATCCAGGAGTCCTAAATTAGGTCTGGCCACTTGTCCCCACATGCCAAATAAAGAACCATGGAGAAGGGCAGAGAAGGGAGATTTATTATATCACAGCTATGGGAAGACAGCACTTCAGTACATCTTCAACCATCTTCCCAGGTGCAGACATCCATCTCAGGTTAAATAGAGAGAATTGGGGGCTGGTGGTAAGAACGGTTTGCAGTGTTAAAACAGTCCCAAGTTGCAGGGAAGGCTTGGTTGACCATTCCCTCGGTCTTTGTCCTTGGAGGAGCTCCAGAAACCTTATTACCACTTTATTACTGGAACAAAATAGGAACAAGGTGGTCCCTTCAATTTGTAACTGCTTTCTTTTTGTTTTTGTGCCTGTTCTGGGGCTTAAACGCAGGTCCTAGGCGCTGTCCCTGAGCTAGCACTCTACCAACAGAGCCACACTGTTACTACAGGCTCTCCACTTTCCTGCCCAGGCTGGTTTCAAACCACAATCCTCAGATCTCAGTCTCCTGAGCAGCTAGGATTATAGGTGTGAGCCACAGGCCCCTGGCTTTTAAGAAGGCATTGCCTGTTTGAAGGGCAGTTTAAGGTGACGGCGACCAACTTGACTGTAACAGAGAACAGCTTAGATCAAAGGACAAAGATACAAAGTTGGGGGGGTTCTAGTTAATTTACAGGGCCCCACAAAAGCATTTCTTAAGTTGTCTCTTACAAATTCCCATATTGTGATATTTACGCTTAAGAACAAACCTACACAACTGTGGCAGTCAGCTTTTCTTGACTGTGACAAATTACCCGACACCCACAACTTAAAAGAAGAAAAAGGTTCTAAGGCTCATGATTCCAGAGGTGGCCTCCTGGCTTTTTCAAAGGGCCTGTGGTGAGGCAAAGCATGGTAGAAGGCTGTGGCAGCAAAGCTGTGGGTAAGCCGGGAGGGGGGGGGGCCGGGCACCAGGGACAAGGTGAACCTTCCAGAACATACCCCAGCGCCT